CGACCGGCCATGCCTATTTATAAACCTTCTTAAGGAGATTCTCGGACGTTTTCCTTCCCTCTCTCTCTCTCTCTCTCTCTCTCTCTCTCTCTCTCTCTCTCTCTCTCTCTCTCTTCCTCTTTCGCAGCAATAACCTCTCTTTGTTCCGGGACACTGAAACCGTGGACCCTTAAACGAGAGTTCCTCTCGCGGAGAGATCGAACAGAGAGGTGTCTCCGATGGTCGCCTCTCCTCGCGAGAAAACGGGACGATTGATCGCCGGTATCGTTTTCAAAGTATCCTTTACACCCTCGCTATCGAATCTTCCGCGATCTCCTCGCGTTATATATTTTTATCGCCGGTTTTCTCTACGTTTTTCGTTTCCCTCTTTTTTTCATTCGATTACTTTTCCAAATTATTCTTCCTCGCAAAAACTTTATCGATTTTCTTATGAATGAAACATCTCTCTTTTTTCATCCGCTATTAACGTAACGTGAATTATTAATGGTAGGATCCATTTTTCTTTTTGTTTTTTTATTCTTGGATTTTATTGCAACGATGTACTCGCCTCTAGATTTTACACTTCCGTGGATTGTTCTCGTTCACCGAGATTTCGATAGAAATAGAAGTTTCTGGTTTCTGGATCTCTGACATCGTCTGGTTGCTCGAGGCTGGCGCGAAAATACTCATAATACTCGGGAAACTGTTGCAGCATCCGTAGTAACAGACCACCAGTCGAGCACCACGCTCGACGATAGACAGGATACAACTACGACCAACGAATCGGTAGCTATTTCCACCGTTTTTCTTTTCGAACAATACGAAATTGAATATCAATTCAATTTTTAACACGCTTTTACGCTCGAACAAGAAAACAACATTTAAAAAAAAAAAACACACATTTAATTCTCCAACACACCACGTGCTTTCGAACACTTTCACTCGTCGCCGCGTAACGCGATTGTGAAACGAAAAAAAAAAAAAAAAAAAAAAAAAAGGAAAAGACAAGAAGTGGTCGTCTTCTTTCCCGATCGAGAATCGATATCGCGTGGCTTTTCGGCCGCGGCGCAGCAAAATGTGTGGAGCGCGATCGGCACAGCATCCACGCTACCGGATCACTCGTGAGACACTAACCGACAAGAGACAGAGAACGCAGACACGAGGTAGAGGTAAGCTACACCGCAATTGGTCGGGTTGGGAGATGGAGAAGAGTGTGTTAGCAGGGTGCAGGGGAAGAAAGAGACGGCGGATAAAAGTGGACAGGGTGGGAAGTAGAAATAAGCAGGTAGTGGGAGTGGAGTAGTAGCTGGTTGCGTACACCAGCCTTAAAAGCAGGTATCCACGTGGCCGCCGATCCTCGTAACGTGGGGTCAGTTCGTATCACGATCGACCACCTTTCCTACGAGAATAACCACCGAAATTTCTCTTCTTTTCCCCCCCCCCCTTCTTTCCATCTCGCTACTTGCAATTTCTTTCTTTTTGGAAATTCTGGAAACACACGATCCTTTTTCGTACGATATAATCCTGAATCGATTCGTTCGAATGGTTTTATCGGTATATTCGCGGAGAGTATAATATAACCGATTTGGAAAGGTAAGAGAGATTTCGGTCCCCTTCGAGAAAGATTTCCTTAATTCGATTGTATTTTCAAAGGGAAATACCGAGAACCGCCCTCTCTTGATGTATCTCCTGCAACGAATAACTTCTAGGATACGCGATAACCGAGTAAATTGGATGGAAATTCGCGAGAGAGGTTTTCTGCACGCCCTCCCTCCCTTCCCACGTGCATCTTTTACACGAACCGACGGAAAAACTAAAACTCGAGAACCACTCTCTCTTCGTTACTTCATTTACGTGAAAATTCGTTATTTCAACTTTTTTAATGGCAGTTCAAAGTTTAAAGATTAAAAAAAAAAAATATATGAGTTATATAGCGTATATAGATAGATTAAAAAAATTAATTACGTATGCGTAATATTTTAAAAATTTTTCAATTTAAACTATATAAAAATAAAAGTTAGAAAGAAAGATTCGCGTGATCAACGAGCGAGACGAGCACGTGTACAAAGGAATCTCGTCTCAGTGGACATTAATTAAGGAAAGAACGGGGAGATAGAATTATAGCCGGAGGAAGATGGCGACGAAGGATCGTTCGGAAATTACACGTTGTGTGGGTGCATTGCCTACTTCTTCCGCGCATTTTTCTTATTCCCACGTTCCTTCCACGTTAATGATTGGCCGCGTGTATCGTCGATACTCACACTCTTTCACGCGACCACTAACCGTGTAGTAATTAACCGTGAATATTGTTCGAGGTAATAAAAGTTACGATCCGCCGAGTAAACCGTACCAAACCGAAAAAAGAAAAATAATTGCCAGTTAGTTACCTTTCATTTTAATTTTCAACCCGATCCATGTTTCGTTTTTAATTTGTCATCTCTTGTAAAGATTAATATTTCTTTTTTTAGAATGCGAATGCGACGAACGAAACTTCGATTAACGATCGTCGCAAAAAAATGAATAAATTTCGAAGAAAATTCGATGATCGAGACGAGTTGAATTTTATTTTATTGTTGGGAAGAAAGAGGATAAAAAATAATTTATATTTTTGATTTCCAACCAGAAAACACCACACCCATGTTTCCCTGCTGTTCTCTCAATCCCTCTTTTCTAACCTGTATATAATGCTGCATCTATATCTGGGACACCTGTAGCGACCATTTTCGTAGCGCTTACAAACCATCGATTTGCCCGCCATCTCTCCACCACTTTCGAAACATCCCAAATAAATAATTTTTCAAGCAAGAACATTTTTTGAAATCATTTACACTTTATATACGAACGTGTATTTTCTTTAGGACAAAGAAACGATTAAGATTAAACGATAAATATAATTGTTATATATTGGTTATAAAATGGAATACTTTTATCGAGTGTTTGAGTTAGAGTTTTCTCGCGAGAGAATCGTGTACAGTGATCCGATCATTGTGCTTTGGAATAATGCTCGTGTTTATAATTTATTAGCGAAATCGTTGAAAGACGGCCGGTTGACTAATAACGTATACAAGGAATGAGTCACTGTTCCACGGGAGTGGACTCTCCGTGAAATAGAAATAGATCTCGATGCGACGCTGGTCACTCGGGATTCCAGTTTCGTCGATGACTGTTTTAAAAAAAAAACAAATCGCTCTATATAATGTCGATGAGAAAACGGAAAAAGGAAACAACAACAAAAGAAAAAAAAAAAAAATAAATCCATACTTCTCCTTGTAAACACCAATCTCTTTTCGTTTTCCCAAAACTTTCCTTCCTTACGATATTTATCTTCCTTAGATAAAAGATTTCTTTCTTTTTCTTTTACCGTAGAAAAAATCGATCGATGATTTTCGATTCTCTTAAACGCACTATCGAAAGATCGAGGATCGTATTTGTTATTTTTGCATTTTTGAACACGCGCTCTCTTGTTATATCTCTCTTTTGTTCGAAACGATCGAAGCGTTTCCCCGTTTCTCGGGAAAAAAACACGCGTTTCCTTTTTGTTTACACGGGTCGAACGTGTCGCACGAGCAGCTACGGATTGAAAAGTGACGCGTTGTTAGCAGCGTGCTTCAACTATAACCTTGGAAGGAAAACACGTGACTCGGTTTCGCGGTTTGCCGCGTGTATGTGTATGTGTACGTGTATATAGAGTACATATATATTTCGAACATTACACGCGTTACATTTGACCACGTTTTCGCGCGTGTACACGTACAGCACGGACGCAACAGCGTTGCTTTAATTATAGACCGGAGCCCTTCTTCTTTCCACCCTCAACAAAATTGGAAAGCTAATCTGGATCTAATAACGGATCGTGTATTTCGTTTGAAAGGAAGGTAATATTTTCTAATAGACACCCGATTCTCGATCGATCAGGCTCTGTTCTCTCGTTTCGATTAATAATTTAAGTTTCACAATTTCGCGAAAGACGACTATTTTCGAGGATACTTAGGCTGGAGACGAACGTCGTGTCTTGGCGAACGTTGAAAAACTTTCGAAGAGATTATATATTCGAAAGGGCTTTGCTCTAAGAACGTTCTAGAAGAAGTTTTTCGCAACTTTACTAGGTCATCGAGGAGTTGAATAATGCGCTCGGCATTGAATAACTTTACGAACTACTCTGAAGTGAAGTTTTTAATACCGTCAGATATTGAGCGAAGTAAAATTTAATCTTCTAACTTTTCATCCTTAAAAATTTTTTCTCATATTCTTTTCTCTGTTGTTTAAAAAATCGTAATTCGGAATTGACACGAACGTAAAAATAATCGATCAAGATGGTTACAAGTAATATAGTTACTCTTCGTTTTGAAAATATTATCTTCGATCATCTTCGATCCGTGACGCATTCTTTCGAGATTATGCAAATAGAGAACACGAAGAGGCAAAGTGTAATTCGATTTTGACGATCTATCCGGATGTGACGCAGCTCGTTCTCATCGAGAGATGCAGTTAAAATCCATAAAATACTCTCCGTCTCTCCACTCCTTTGCTTCTTTTATTATCGTCTAGTCTGCGAGATTAGAATCGAATACGAAGAACGAAGATAGATCCGCGATTCTTATAAGATTTTCACGTTAATTGGTACGATCTATTTCGCTAACTAAAGGAATGTCAAAGAAATATATCTGAGACCATAAAACTCTTTTTTCTCAGATTTTGCTCACCTCGATTTATTTTTGTAAGTAAGTATTTCCTGCAACTTCGTAATCGCAGAGGGAGAAAGAGTAATTATCTAGCGTGCAGCTGTGGATGAGTGGATGAGACGTTTAGTTTCAGATTTTATCTATGTATCCCAAACGCGGTTATAGACCTTCTATTTTTAAATGACAACTCGTACCATGTTGCAGGAACGTAGTCTTAAACTGAAACTTTTTCTATCCTCCTCTTTCGCGTATCGATTCTAAATCTTGAAAGATGTTAAAGCAATCTTTTAGGTTATACGCGAATTAATAAACGATGGTTTTTATGATATGCAAACTTACCATTTGTTGCGAGTTCTTCGGTTTCCTATTCACGTCGATCACCTTTTGATTGGCTGCAACGAAAAATATAGGACAATTAATACAAAGATGCCTAACGGGCTAACGGGCAACAAATCGTTTCGAATTTATCGAGGTACATCGCTCGTGACGTACGCGTTTGGCACGTGACCACGTTACCCTCCCGAACTAACGACTTTACCGACGATTTATGTGTTATGGGTAACTGTCCAATACCATAAACGATTCGACCATTGAGTACTGTTACTTTGCCGCTTTATTATCGGCATCCATTTCATTCACTTTGAAACACACACCGGCACGAACGATACGGCGTGAAAATAAGAGATATACAATTTTTCGCTCTCCTTGTCTCGAAGAGGATAACATCCGCGATTTATAACGTTAACAATTTCGATTTACTCACTGACTGCCTCGACCAGGTCGGCAAGAAGAACACCGTCGCAAAGATCCGTTTGCAGATCTGTCACTCTTCTCTTGCAACCGCCTCTCTCCAAATAATAATTCGCCCAATCGGTATAGATCTGCAAGTAAAAAAAAAATAAAATAAAATAACAATAATCGATCAGATGTTGAACGGATATGGAGATGATCATAGATTTTCGTTAGAGAAAATTTATCCGCAAAAAAAAAAAGAAAAAAGAGCACGATATATTTTCATTCGCATTTTAATCACGCGTTCGCTCGTCAGCCGAACTGTATAGTAACTGTTATTCGTTGCCTATTGCAACCATGTAGGCACACTTACGTTTATTAACTCTATTGCACGCGAGGCCTATATGGCCCCCATGCGCATACTTTTATCGTTCTGTCCACTATGTACGATGCATTACGACGACTAACTCGTCGTTTCACCCGACGCAGGTGCGTTGTCTCTATCAAATACGATTAAATCAACTTCCACGTATTTAACGACGATTCATTTTTTTTTTTCCCACCCGTTCCTTCGTTTCGTGGAATCGAAGGAACAATTGTCATCGTTAAGAGACTAATGGAAGAGAATAATCGAAGCAACAGATATAGTCGCCCGATATTTTTACATTTTTACAATTGCATCCACCTTTTCATTATCTATACGACGAAAAGACACACGAGTGAATTAAGACACCTCCTTCGACCGAGAAGCGTTTCTAATCACCTCGAACCGGAAGAAGACGTTTTCTTTCGTGGAAAGAAGGGCGTCGGCTCGGTAACAGGGGCAGAGTTCATCGAGTTTATCGTTTTTTGGGACGAGCGCCGATATTTTTCGCGGCGCTCGAAAGAGGAAAGGAAGAATAGAGGCAGACGGATCGAGAGAAGATGAAGGTTCACGGTGGAAAGGAATTAGTCACCGAATCACCCATACGCGTGCGCGCGTCCTCTTTCCCTCTTCGTGGCTTCTTCGTGTTCACGCGCGCACACAACCAAAACGAATCGTGTTCTTCTGTTTGCACCTATGAGTTGGTGCACGCATTCGTATTCTATGGAGGCACGCGTTGTGTATTTACATACATGCCCGGACTCGTCTACCAGTAACCAATCCTATTGCACGTACGTTTCCACGTTTGCACGTGTACGTGTCTCTCGCACACGTACGCGTTTCTCAGCCGTACGACGACGAACCAGTCGAGACACGAGCTACTATTTTTGAGCGTGGCAAAGAGAGAAGCAGGATCAACTTCCTTCATAATTTCGGGTCACCACGCAGATTCTAATTTTCATTATTATTATACGCGGCCCTCGGTGAACAACTTTACCAGACCTCGAACCACTTGGTAACCACTTGGTCGAATGGAAACGGCTATCTGCCAATTCTTCGAGCGATAGAAATTAACCCGTTGAAAAAGTAATTAATTAAAAAATATTCGAATATTCGTATAATCTTATATATATTATAATCGAATATATATATACATTATATATATATATTATAATCGATTCGTTTTTCATTACAATTATTCGCGATTATTAATTACGTTTTTAAAAAATAAATTATCGAAGTAACTATTAAATTTTGCCCATCGATGTTGAAGATATTTAATACAATGAATTATATTTATAATAATATTATAACAATTATATTATATTATATATATATAATATTATAACAAATTATATAACAATTATATAACAATAATTATCTATAACCAGAGTTGGATATTAAATAATTAAAAATCTAGAATATTCTATTATTATAATCGATTATAATCGATTCTCTTTTCGTATAACTTATCGAAAAAACTTCAACTATTAAATTTTGTCCATCGATGCTGGAGATATTCAATACAATGAATTATATTTATAATAATATACAATAATTATTTATAACCAGAGTTGGGTATTAAACAATTAAAAATCTAAAATATTCTATTATTATAATCGATTATAATCGATTCTCTTTTCGTATAACCTCAACCGTTACAATCATTCGCGATTATTAATACGTTTTTTAAAAATAAATTATAACCAGAGTTGGGCATTAACCAGTTAAAAATCTTAAGCATATTCTATTTATATTTATATATATATATATTTATTATAATTGATTATAATCGGTCCACTTTTCGTATAACCTCAACCGTTACAATTATTCGCGATTATTAATACGTTTTTTAAAAATAAATTATCGAGGTAACTATTAAATTTTTTGTCCATCGATATTGGAAATATTTAATACAATGAATTATCTATAATAATATACAATAATTACCTATAACCAGAGTTGAGCATTAAACAATTAAAAATTTAGAATATTCTATTATTATTATCTATTATAATCGATTATAATCGATTTTCTTTTCGCATAACCTTGACCGAAGTAACTTAAATTTTGCCCATCGATGTTGGAGATACATTATTGATTTAATACAATGAATTATATTTATAATAATATATAATAATTATTTATAACCAGAGTTGGGCATTAACCAGTTAAAAATCTAGAATATTCTATTTATATTTATATATATATATATTTATTATAATTGATATATATATTTATATAATCGATATATAATTATTATAATAGATCCACTTTTCGTATAACCTCAATCGTTACAATTATTCGCGATTATTAATACGTTTTTTAAAAATAAATTATCGAAATAAGTATTAAATTTTGCCCATCGATGTTGGAGATATTTAATACAATGAATTATATTTATAATAATATACAATAATTATCTATAACCAGAATTGGGCATTAAACAGTTAAAAATCTAGAATATTCTATTTATATTTATATTATTATAATCGATTATAGTCGATCTTCTTTTCACATAACTTCGAAATATAATATTATTAATAATAAATTATCGAGGTAACTTCAACTATTAAATTTTTCTCATTGGAGTGACGCGAAGCAACGCACGTGTCTTACGAGTTTTCGAGCTAACGGTATACGAGAAAAAAACGAAAGAAAAAACTGTATCGTTGGTAAAACATAATATAAAAACCGTGTTTGGCCAAATTATGACGTTTACCTGTACGACGTTGCGCGTCGAGTCAGCCTTGATGTCGTCGCTCGATCCACACACAGATCTTGGTGCTCTGATACACGCCATCACGTCGATACCGGTTAGCGTCATCCAAATCGCATTAATTCACGCGCTATACAGGGACGGAATATTCACGATGGAATCGCTAATTATCGCTTTCGATTCAGCCACGAACACTCGTTGAGACATCGACGATATATTATCGCTTGGCATACGATCGGTTAACGATTAATTTGCATCGGGGCAAAAAAAAAAAAAAATACTTCTCGACGTGCAACACGACCAGTATACCAGGTATCACTTCGACAATGGCCGCCGGTTGACGATCGGAAGAAATTAGGCGTCGGTCGATACGCGTACCAGCGTTTGATCACGATCGATCCGGTCCGTGTTCCTCTATCTATTAATGGAACGATCTTGTTATCCACGATGCACGTGCTCCCGCGAGGCGTGTCGTCACGTTTCTTTCGACTCGATGTACTTGGAAGAAGCAGTATCAGACGTGCAACAAGCGACGTGTAACAACGTGAACGATATTCGAGTTCAAAGTTCTCCCTCCTCCCGTTTCTGCATTTGTGTATACATACATACATATATACATACACATTTCATCTCACATTCTTCTTTCTTCACGAAAGCGAAAAGAGCGATCGAGCGAGTTTCTCTGCGAATGATTCTCGCGCGAATTTTTATCTCGCGATAAAAATTTGGCGGACAAACGATTTGAAAAGTCCCGGACGAAACTTCCACTCTTGAAACTACACGTCCCTTCGAATATACTTCGAAAAGTGACGGAGGATAAAAAGCCAGTCTCGATCCTTTTTCTCCGCGGGAATCGAGAAATTTCGAAGGATCCGTGGACGGAAACTTGTCAAATAACACGCGGAGTGGTGCAGCGTTGCTTTTAAGAGCTGCGAAAGCAACTTGGCGAGCCAACTTATTATACCAACTTATTCCCTTTCCGCATTATCCAATTATTCAATTTCGCGGCCGGACCGTTGCCGTTGCCGTTGCCGTTGCCGCGCGCCCCTCTCCCTCCCCCCCGCATAAACAGAAACCACTCGTGTCGTTTTTTCACGCAGCGTATCGTCGTGACATCGTGGAACGATCACCGTGGAACGATGAGGGGAAAAAGGAGAAGTAAAGAAGAGAAGAAACTACCTCGATTCTCGATTCTCGATTCGATACGCGACGCGACACGTTTTCCACGATTTTCGCGCTTAACAACAATTAACGGCGATTGGCCACGGGTCACGTGAATTACGGTCGATTCCTTGCCCCCCTTCTCCGCGAAGATCCTCGGGAACGTGTTATCCTCGTGACAGCGAGGAGCCGCGTCACGGATAAATGTCATGGCGAGGCATGAAACGCGGCCGCGAGAGAACGACCGTTGCCGCCGAAACGATGCGACCACGCGTCTCGACGGCGCGACGCACCGGACGTAACTGAATACAAAATACGTAAGCCTCACGCTTCTTCTCTACGCGTACTCGCTCCTTTCTCCTTCTCTCGCTCGCGCTTTCTCTCTCTTTCTCTTCGACTGCTTCTTCCTTTCCTCCTTCTTTCGCCGTTTCTTTTATTTCAGTTTTTTTCTCTCGTTTCTCCTCTTTTCTTTTCATCGACTTCGATTCCGTTCCATCTCTATCTCTGTTCACACGAGAGAGAGACACGGATTCGGTTTCTCCTTTTTTGTTCCGTGCGACACACACACGAACATATACATAGGATTTCCTGCGACCAATTGTTCCGACCGAGTTTCTATTACGAGATATAATGAGGATATGGCGGCACCAACTTTCGTTCGAAACGAAGCCGAGATAATCTCGCGTGGAAAACGAGATCGTGTATATGGAATATGGAATACATCGAATTGAATGGAAGAAGGAATCGATCGATCGAAGACGAGAGAAAGAGACGATAAGAGGGATAGGTATAATAATGAAAAAGAATTAGTTCGTCCTCCGAGAGGATAATATCTCTTCCCTCCACGGGCGAAAATAACGCGACGCTGGATGAAAATAGGAACTAAAGTCGTTGGAGAGAGAGAG